AAAGTCGGGGATATTGCCCGATTCCTGGTGATGGGAGTGAGATCCAGAGCAGGACCTATCCTCCCGACCAGGAGTGACCCTGACCTAATGATCCAGGCCATTGTTCCCGCCCCCACGGAGCTGCTGGATTACTTCGCCGACGAGATCCGTCAGAAGGTGGAGAGCAGGGCGGGCGCCTCTTCGCACTATTACAGGAGAGCATGCGCGGAAATACGCGACGCGCTCCGTGGAACAGCCGTGCAGCCTGGAAATGCCGGCGCGGTCAAGGACCCAGAATTGGAGGCCTCGTCTGCCAGCGGGCAAGGGAACGTCACTTCGGTGATACAACTGAAGAAGTTCCTGAGCCACTACTTCGGGACCAGTATCGAGTCCGACGATGCCTTTTCGTTGTACCTCCTGTCTTCTTTCCTCGAAGACGGGGTGGGAATGTTCGAGATCATCATCACCGTCATCCGTGACAAGGAGCGTCGATTGCTGCCAGGTTCCGCCCGCATAGCGGCGGTAAGGTCGCTTGAGATCGGATCTGACACTGATTACCGAGCATTTCGTGAACGATATCAATACATGCTCTACGAGAGCCCTGTTTGTCTTCCTGTCACCTCTAAGGTGGTTCCCAAGACACTCTACAAGGTGGTGCCACTTCGGATGTATCGGCTCTACGTAGAACGTGGAGCGATCATTCGGGGTGGGCGAGCCATGATTGAGCTCCTCCCATCCAGGCCGGATGAGTACCAACCCATCCGTGATCACGGTGAATGCCCCAACGACACTGTCGACCGCATCACCGACAGCAATGTGACGGAGCTGCACACCTCGGGTCGACGCCAGAGGAGCGATCCCCGATATGTGGTCATGGCCCTCGATGCACGTTTCTTCTCCATGGAAAATGGGGGCATGCATATTACTCGTCAGGGTACCTTTGCATCGCGCGAGAACATCGCGATCGGGTACTGGAGATGCGTCTACTTCAAGGAGGACTGCTCCATCATTTACTTGAGGCCATGGTGCTATCCGCCCAACTTCCTCAGCTCCGTGAGTGAGAACCCGAGGAAGTGTCGGGACGAGATGGAGAAGACTCACCAGATCACCAAGGCGGAGCATGTCCGGGAGGTGCTGTCTGTTCCATGCCATAGGTGCATGACGACTCATCCGATCGGCGCTCACCTGTGCACTGCCTGCTACCTTCCCATCTTCTATGAGGGTGTCCTGCCCACCGGAGACACGGACGGCGGCCCTCGCACGATAGCGAGCACTGACGGGGTGATTCCCAGCTGGTTGGGGAAATACGGGGGCGTCGTCCCCGCTCTGTGGAACAACGCAGACGCCAACGCCATCGGAATGGCCCTCTACTCACAGAGTCCCGCCGTTGACGCCCGGTCCTTGCTGATGTCTGGGATGCGACCTCCTAAGTACCTCGACAAAGAGGACGTGGACGGCATTTTCCAGAAACTCCACGACTCGCTCCGAGACGAGGTTCTTGACGGCAAATACCGTGACACTGTTGACCACAATGTGGAAGAGTGGGTCGCAAAGGCGATCTTGGTAAGGGGTCTTGCTTTCAACGGGAACACCGTCCCCGACTTCTTCAAAGAATATGAAGGGTATGCGGCTGCGTGGGGCAGACGCCTAACCACCGCAAACTTCAACGCCAACCGCTGCGGCTTTTACACGTCATACTACATGGTCGAAGCTCACATCATTGGGCTGAGATCCGGGCATCTTTCCCCGATACTCCCGAACGATGTGTCCGGGGAGACGTTCAAGGCCCAGGTGGAACTGCTCGCACAACACTGTGGGGTCATGCAAGCCATGCGGAGGAGGGCCGGCTTCGATCCCGCCGCGCGTCTCAAGCAGGCTATGGACACGGTACGGGAAGGCGTAAAGAAGGGCTACGCCTACACGCTCAACGACCTCAGCAGTATGGATGAGCTGATCTACCGGACGTCCACCGTTGCCTACGACACGTGCTTGGCCGACCGACCGCAAACCCAGGACGACATCAAACAGGAGCTGGCCGATCCTGCACCCAGGAAATACCGCTTCCGACCCCGCGATCGCCATCGACCCGGGATCCGCCTTACACCAGGCCCCGGCGTGAAAGACGAAGAAGAGCCCGACTTTGCTGGATCAGCGGAGGATGAGCTGGGATCGGATGGATCTTCGCACGAAGACGATGAGAAGCCTGATGACCTTGACGAGCCAATGGACGACGATGAGGAGGAGATCCCTCCCCCTCCACCACCGCCCCCGGCTCCTCCCGCGCCGCCTGTCCCGGTAGAACCGGAGACCCCCGTGGTATCCCACACAGGCGTCGGTTCTGGCGGGGCTGTGCCAGTTCCTCCTCCTCCTCCTCCTCCCCCCGTTCCTATTGCTGCGGGCGTCACAACGGCTGGGGATCCGTTTGAGGAAGAGGACGTGGCCGTCAATACTCGTGTCCCTGACACCGAGTCCGAGCTGGAGGCTGACACCGACCAACCAAGGCCAGGAGGACATCTCGTGGTCGGGTCCCCGCGCCCGAGAAAGGGCAGGGGGGCGTTCACATCCCGCCTGGCAGGCAACCCAGCTCCAAGAGCATGGCTCAGCCTGCCCGTCCATCCCCGGTCCCCGCGAGAAGCGGTGCGGAAGAAGGGGAGAGAAGGGGCAGGATCAAGGGGTTCTACACCCAGAAGGATCCTTTTACCGGCGAGGACGCGACTCCCCGGGTTCGTCTTCGGTCTGGCGGTCCCGGAACTCCTGCGTCCCCACCACGGGATGCCACTGGTTCCTTGGGCGGCCGTAGCGGCTATGACCCGCGCGATGATGACGACGAAGAATGGGAACTTCCTCCGGGCGTGCCTCGGACCACTCGTGCGGCCGATGAGTTGCGACCCCACCGAGATGACGATCGATCAAGGACCGCGCTTGGGGCTCGCGAGGATCGTCGCGGCCCTAAGGGTGAGGCGAAGTGTCGAGGGAGACACCGACCTGGTAAAGGTGGACGCGAGGATCCTGGCCCGCCCCGACAAAGGGATGATCGTGGCAGGGATACCCGCGGAGGCCGACGCGATGATCGCCGACCTCCTCCACGCCGTGAGGAGCCCTCCGAGAGGCGCGGTCCGGGGCGAGATGAGCGCCGCGGACGTGATGGCCCCGCCGATGACCGTCGCGATCGCCACAGAGACCGGCGCAGGGATGACCGACGTCACCAATCAGATCCCCCTCCGCCTCGCCGACCCCCGGCTGGCGACCGCAGTAGAGATGGTGATGAGGATCGCCGTCGGGATGGAGGAGGCGACCGAGGTGACCGCGGTGGACGTCGGAGAGATGACGCGCCCAGAGACCGGGAAGAACCCGGTTCAGGGTGGTAGGCAGGTACCGCAATCAGCATCCGCCTTAGAAGGGCGAGGATGGCGCACGTGTCGCCGAAAAAGGCGACTGCACCGATCCTCTTCTCGCCCATGCGGCACTGCTGGGGGTGATGGTTTTTCATTGCCCTGTACCGCTGATCCGGCGTTGTTCGTGTTCCTCCCGCACCGCTGCCGTGCGCGCTGGAGACGGTTCCCCTGGTGATCCTGTGTGAGGCTGTGACCGTACTAGAAGTGCCGGGCCGGCCGTAGCCGGATATTTTCTCACCAATTTCGGAACATCTCTATCTTTTTCCTCCCAACTCGGTACCACCTCCAACCACATTGCGACATGCTGTGAGGCGCGGTGATCCAGATAGGGCCCCCCCTCCGCGTGACAATACATGAACGGCACGAGAGGAATCTTCGTCTGGCTCCTCCAATATGTCCTTGTTCACTCACGTGGCCCATTCGTCAAATAACCCTGTCGCCCCGCTAATTCGGGGTGGTGGCGGGATTTTAACTTTGGCCCAGGTGCTGCCGTTTGGCTCACCTCTGAGTTGACACTGGCATTTTTGGTTGGTTCCTTTCGTCGTGAACTCAACTGTCTTGCATCCTTTCTCTCGTCCAGATATCGAATGAGGGGGGTGTGTTTCGTTCACGTGTTGTTCTATCATAAGCGAATCGGCCGAATGGCCGTTTGGCTCAAGATTTGGTTCCCCCGTCGGGATTCCCTTGGATTTGCGTGCGTTTGCCATAGTGCGGCGATTGGCTGCGCCATCGCGGAAAAGGTCCGTGGTGTTCCTGCTGATCGGCACTAGGAGGTGGGCGGCAGGTCGCCGAGGTGCTCCCGGGCCCGATCCCTATCTTTACCTTCTTTCAACCTGTTTTCCAACCTCCCCAAACCTGATCTTCATTAACTGTCACTCCCACAATCTGGTCACCGGCACCTTCTACATTGTGCTTTGGGACTGGGTTCTTTTGGTACTTTGTGAACCACGTGTACCTCTTTGATTCCCTGGGCTACTTCGTGTTCGCCCAAAACCGCACTTTCCAAGCTTTTCCGCCGCTTCCAAGCGAGTTAAGGAGCGGAGGAAAGCAGTGAGCGGGCGGGACAGAGAGATCCCACTCCCTACCTCCCTCTGCGTCCGGAAGCTCGAGAGTTAGGAGACGGAGAGAGGTCCTGTTGACAAAGGAAAAGGTGAGAAGGGAATGTGAGACCAGACAATCAAACAACAAAACTAGGAAAATGAGAAAGGAATGTGAGACCAGACAGTAAAAGAAGCTATCCAAGAAGCCGGAAGGTGGTGAAGGCTTCTCCCCGATTTTCTCATTCCCTCCGTCTCATCCCTTCGCTTGTCGGTCATTCCTTCGTTTGCAAACTATTTATCATCTCATTTTTTCCAAGCTTCTTGAGGTTACGAAAGACAGGAACCTAGGAGCAACAAAAACAACTTTCATCCCCTGAGAGTCTAAGGCCCGCTTTCGTGCAGCTGGCACTTGGAACGTCCAGAATTTGCCCTCAAAATAGCCAGGGAGCCCCCACATTCTGGGAATTTTCCCATTCGTTCCACCTCCCCTTCTGGGGGAGACTGGGATGCCGACTGGGACGCCCTCGGCTCGCCCTTCTGCGTGGGATGCGTCGAAGTCTTTGATCACGCAGTTGCCGGTGGCCAGGGCGAAGCCAAGGGCGACTTCAAGTTTGCGCTGGCCCAGACCTCCAGCTGTCTAAAAACCCAGGATGACCACGAAAAGCCACAAAAGCCGAAGGGTATGACGAAAATGCGTTGTTTTCCCCGCGTTTGAAGCCACAAGCCAAAGGGTATGATGCAAGCGCAATGATTTTTCCCCATGATTTGTGTTTTCCTCGAGCGAGGTTTTTTGGGGGGCTGGGGGAAGATCTCTTCAAGTTTTGCTCCCACTTGGTCTTGGGAAGAAAGCCCCTGATGCCGATGCCCTTGGAAACCATTGAAGTCGGGAATCGAAATCTTAGACGCGTTCCCGAATGGCAAGTGGGGGTGGGGGGGCGGTTTGGGACACATCAGGGGATACTTGCAAATGCTCCCATGCCCATTGGGTTAAGCGCATATGTGTTGACCACTCATATGAGCGACCTGCCATCGATTGGAATGGGCTGCGTCCTTCAGGCGAAAACGGTGGGATATTCCAGGTGAGCATGCTCAGTTCTCAAGTCAGTTATCACGCTCGGGGAATTGTCCGCGGCCAGAAGATGCCTTCCTTGCTGCTGGCATGTTGGGCGAGGGTAGGGGGGCTGCAACAATTAAGTTGTGGTTGCAAGCATCTCTGCAACATGAACCACTTGCCGCACACCGCGTCATTCGCATGTGCATTTGATGTATTTGTTGATGTTGGTTTTTTGCAATCTCAGTTGATGTAAAACCTAGACAAACAGGTCCATGTCAGCAAGACGTGAAGATTAGGTGACTCAGAATCGGACTGCCCAGGGAAAACGGGAAAGCAATGCTTTGAAGCTGCAGCAGCGGCAAAAGGAGCAGGAGCAAGCGAAGAATCTGGGCGGCAGGTATTGCCGCTATTTCAAAAGCGAAGTGTCACCCTTCCTGAGCCTCCCTGCCAGCCAACTTTGAAGTGCCATTGAAACAACGGATTGTGAATTATCGCAAGTTTCAACATCGGACGATGATGAATAACATAATATATAGAGAGAGAGAGAGAGAATATTCGTGTATACATGTGCTTCCCCACATTCTTGTTTGGGGCGCTTTCCCATGATACTTTCTGGTGTTCACAAGGTCTTACTTCTTCTCCAATGAAACACACAGAGCCCCGTGAACGCGACGTGAACGGCGTGATGTCAGCTGCCCAGTTGCTATCGCCATCTTCAGGTTTCGCCTGGATTCCAAAGACCTTTCCGCTGAATTCCGGTACTGTATGGTTTCATGACATGGTCTCGGCAAGTTCCTGAAACTTTGTTGCAGGCTTTGCTCGCCTCCATGCTGGCCTTTTTGGCATGGCAGATTGGGGGCCGGTTTCATTTGGCCGAGAGCGGCTTAGAAACGAAAGCATGGAGCCGTGGCGGAGGTAGGGAGGGCATTTTTTTGGAGAACAGCTCTTTTCCCCCCCGTCTTCATGGTCCATGTTGGAGGGAGGCAAATGGGATGAAGCTTCAACCTCTCTTTATGACCTGAGCCGCTTCGGCAAAGCACAAAAGCAGGTATGCGTTCCATGTTGTTTTTTTGATTTATTTTGGGGCAACAACCTTACGGACTGTTGTTTCACCTTTTGGGGCCAAGATTCGCCATGCGGTCAGTTTGAGGGCCCAGCCCACAATCTTTCACAGGGCAAGCATCCCCCACCATGATCACTGGTGTTCGCTCATGTGTGTGTTCCCAAGTTCGAATTTGCCCGGCCGCGATGCGGGACCGCCGGAGGGGTAAGTTGTTGCTGGTTTCGATGTCCGCTGGATGTCTGGGTTGTTTGCCCCAGAATGATTATACCGCTGATTAGTAATCTTTGCAAGGTTGACAAAGTCCAGAAAACGACAGGATATTGGGGGGTCCCCCTAAGCTCCCCCTAATTAATCCGGTTGTCACCAGTCCTCTCTTGTTCTCGCTCTCCCTGCCTGGGCAATAAAGTAAAAGGAAGCTGCAGGTGTTTTACCCAGGGCTGTATTATTGTGGAGCGGGTATACACCTTTATGAGCTGTCAATCTTGGATTGTTTGCACAGCATGTCATAGGAAATGCTGTTTCCGGCTAGCTGTTCTTTTGTCCACGGTTCTGAAAGGGCAATCCATATGATGGAAATTTGCATTGAGAGAAGTGTTGTCAATAGCTCTTGCAATATAGATTTGTGCTTTGTTCCTTTTCGGATAGTGAGGCAGGCGGCCGTCTTAAATCAGGGGTCAGGGATTGTGTGCCAACAATGGATGTGGGCATTTATTGCCAGAGAAGAAGGACAATCTTTCAGAGGGTTTATCCGGGTCAACATTCGACTTCCGAAGGATTTTTGACTCCAAGATCAAGTCCAGTTGAACTGTAAGCACGGAAGCATTTACTAAAGGGTTTGGGGATGGGGATGGGGAAAGGCTTTGAAGTGACAACATGTGTGAGCAACCGGCAAAATGCCCTGTGATGAAATCTACATGTCTATATGCTGGGATTTGCTCCATAGGATCCTGAAACCCCCAAAGGGAAGACCTAGGTGTTTTTCATAATTGAGGCCTTCAAGATACGAGCAAGAAGATTCAGGAACGGGTTGTCTCAAAGCAGGGGAAAAGCCTTCAAATTCCCGTGGCTTCTTTTTCGTCCAGCCCGCAAAACGGTAAGCGGTACTGCGGTACCCTCAAAAACGGAGACATCCAAATGGGACCCTTTTACAAGACCCTCAAAATTTGTTTGGTTTTCTCCAGGAAGGTGGTTTCCTTGCAGTTTCCAAAACCATCCAAAAGTTGTGTCCCCTTGTTTTGAGACATCCCCAAATGGGTGTGTCTTAGTTCTTGAAAATGGTGGCTTTCCTTTCGGTTTCCCTGTACACCCGCCCGAAAAGGGCTACCTTCAAAAAAGGAAACGCCCGAATGAGCCACAATCAAAGCCCGGGTAGATGAAGGTTAGTAAGGGACGATCCCAACCAGAAATAGCTGTGGATATCCGCCTTTAATTCTTGAAGCATGGTTCTGGGATTACGACCATTTTAGTACCAGGTTTTGATTGCGACTCAAATGCAGCCCAAGTCCACCAAAATAAACGGACACCACCATTTACAAGGCAATGTTCAGGTGTATAATGTAAGGATCCCTGAAAGAAACAACCAACTCCAGCCCCAGATCCCTGGTCACTCGCCCCGGGCGAAGAAACCTTGAGGAAGCTGCAGGACGAACAGCTGCGGAAGGAGCAGCAAGAGGCGGGGGGGGGTGCAGGGCGCGCGAGTGGATCAGTGCAAGGCTTTGGTCGTTTCCAGGGGAAGCAAAGGGCGTATGCAGAATATACTGCAAATTACAGAATATTCTGTAAAATACTGTGTATATATATATATATATATTATTCTTCTACATATAATATCGGGGTGTTGTTTCTGCTTGGGGGTACTCCTTTTGGGGTTCTTTTCAAAGTAGTAGTTGTTGTGGGGTTCAGTGCAAAGGGCGGCTCGGGGATGGATCTTGACACTGGGTTTCCTTGTTGGTTTGTGTGTGTCTCTAGCGCGACCCCCCAAAATGCAAGTGATCCCTTGGCTTTCGCTAACACACCCACAGGGTGTCTTGCTTGAGTGTAGCTTCCTGGGATTGTTCCAAAGGGAAGTCAAATGCACACCTATGTTGTTGGGGGGGGGGGGGTTCCCATGATTCCCGTTTGGAAGCGCCCACGTGTTCTAAGCATTTTGGACTTTGGACCCACAAATGGTTGGTTGAGCTCTCTTGTCACATTCTAGGCGCGAGTTGAACCCACATCCTGAGCAAGAACCCGCCCCTAAAGTACTGATGCGAGGTCTATTTGGAGATGCACGCATGGCAGGTGCACTAAAGCTGGGAAGGCCGTTGGCTTTGGTGACGCCTCCACATCCGAAATCTATGCATAGGGGATGGTTTATAGGGGTCATTCCCTCATTCCCTGCGAAGCAACAGCAAGACTAAACTGATGTTGATTGAATTATTGCCCTCCCTCTCACCTTGCACGTTGCCACGGCATCTGTGGAATTGATCTGCCAGGTACCCTAGTGCTTTCTGTTTGTAGGAGAAACGTCTATGGATTTTGGTTTCCCCGTCTCAAATTGTCCCAAACAAAGATCAGTTTATTTCAAAGCGGATTGGCCGAACCACCAACGTTGCATTTGAACCCCCATAGCTGTTAAGTATGGGGATTTCTCAACATGGTGCACCTCTTGTTGGGTTGGTCAGAGGGAAAAACGAAACACGCCCATTGGGGGCTGTTGTGAGAAGCCGCCCTGTGTTCTTGTTGGCAAGAATGCTTGTGTTCTTTGGCCCAGCTAGTGGACCTTTACAACCATTACTGTAGAGCCAAAGTCAATGGGTTTTGCTTGCAGCAATTGTCACTGTGCCCCTCTGATTTTCCACACTGGAGCCCCCTCAAACGGGCAATCGCTCTGGATACAAGTCCTCCCTCCTCTATGGGACAGGGCACTTTTAGACCATGTCTTTGGGAGGGAACAAAGAGCCCCCGCAAACGCTTAAGAAGTACTCTTGGAGGGTGTCCCTTTCCTTCAGTGTGTCAGAGGCAACGTTGACGCAAGTGTGTCAAAAGCAAACACTGATACAGGGAGGGCTATCCAGGAGTGCCCCTTTGTAAGTTGTGTGTTAGGAAGAATCCGCCTAGAACTGCTTTTTCATGTTGTTCGCTTGTTCCAAGCAAAAAATCATCTGGTCCATTTCAAAGAGTGGGTCTATGTCTGATCCTGAAGGCTCTATCGAGCCATTTTGCAGGACTGAAGGCAGGAGCAGTGAGCAGTGACCGGGGCTATTGCACAAATTCCACGACAAATATGCCCGTTTTTTTTTTTGCATCACTGGCCATGCCGGGCGGGTTGTGCTGAAAAATGACATGGACCCCTTTTGCGTGGCATTTATGCAAACAAAGAACCAACAGGAAACAAACCCGCGATTTTGGTGGGGACCTGCTGAACCAGCTGCACAGTGGATTGCTTCCAGGCGGTGGAAAAGCGACAGAAGCAGATGGAGGCTTTGGCAAATTGAACGTCAAACCAGTTGCGAGGATGTGGCCAGCTACCCCAATGAGTAACTCACCGTTCATCCTCTTTGGGATTTCCATTGGAGGACCAAACAATTTGGACATCGTTTTGCAGATTGTGTGGGAATTGGGTAAATCTGAATGATGCCAAACTTGGCATAGCTTCTCCATTCCGAAGAAAGTCAGTTTACATTTCAAGGTTCGCCAAAGACCGGCCAGAAGAAAACATGCTTTTTGGTTGGGGGCAAAAGCTAAGGCAGTTTTGAGGTGTGACTCTCGCGCCACTTGACAGGCAGACATGCAGAAGGCCATGCACGCGCACGAGCAAAACAAAAAGATCATGGGGCCGTTCGTCACCGAGCCAGTGATTCAGCCCGTGAAGAAGCCATCAGATGCCACCTCCGCTGCCCAGCAAGCCGCAGCTGCCACCAATGCTAGCAGGGCCAAGGCACAGGAGGTGCGGCAGAAGAGCCCAAGCCCAACCCCCAGCCCAAAGACAGAGGAGGTAACCCAGGAGGCGGCCAAGGCAGATCCTGCTGCCGCAGCTGCTGCAGCGGCTCTGTCGGCTTATGGCTTTGGAGTGGACATGAGCGCCTTGTACGCCAGCTACGGCTTGGCTATGCCGGGACTGGGCATGGTGCCGGGGTATTCTTTCCCCATGGGCCTGGACATGACGAGCGTCATGCTCGGGGCGGGGGGCGCTGGTGCGGCGGGTGCGGGCGCCGCGGGTGTAGCGGGCGCAGCAAATGCGGCCGCAGCCTCGCAGCCGACGCCAGCTGGCCAGGCTCACACCGTGGCCAAGGCTGCTATAGAGGCCCCCACGTCCTCCAAGGCAGCAGCTGCAGCGAAGGAGACCTTGCTGGGGGCTGCGATGCCCAAGTCCAGCATGGCTAGGCGGATGACCCCCATGGGCGCACCCGGCCCCACCGGCCCCACCGGCCCTTCAAGCCCGGCTGCACCGCATCCAGCCCAAAGCCAACCTGCAGCCACACCACGACCACCAGCCCCCCAGCCACCCAGCGCCCCAGCCACCCAAGGCGCCCCCGGCGCCCCACCCGGCGCCTCACCCGGCGCCGCCCCTGGCCCAAAACCTGCTCAGCCGGGCCCTCAACATCTACCACCGCCCCCAGCACCACCTGCGCCGCCAAGTGGCCAGAGCTCTCAGGGCTCTGGCTGGCAATCATATCCCAAGAAGGACCGCCGGGAAGCTTCCACACGCTTGCATGATCGTTGTCAGCTCTTCACTTCAGGAAGATATCCAGGGTGATAAGCTTGGACTTTGAGCAACTAAGTGTTTAATGTACTCACCCTTTCAGCCACGACTGTGGACGTGCCCAAACGCCTCGTGTTTTGTCTCGTCCCACGGGTCCCAGGCCCCAGAAGGGATCACAACTCCCTTTTGCTTGGGGTTGGTCGGGGGAGGGTACCCATTTATGGGGGTTGTTCAGAGAATTTAAGAGTAGCCAGCAACCACACTTGCTTAACGAGCCAACAAGTCTTCGGACACAAGCCGAATCGGTCGAAGGGGAAATCCAGCGACCCCTCTACTGGAGGTCTGAGCTTCTGAGCCAGCTGAGAGGTGGTTGTTGAACCATAGTGGACTTGTTGGGCCCCAACGCTGTCAGGCCATCGTACTAGTAGGTATGCATGCATGTTTAATATTATGTGCATATATATATATACATATATATATATATATGTATATGTACATATATGATGACACATTGGAAAAACACTGCTCAAGTTCACCAACCTGGGCCCATTGGGGGGGGGTGCATATATATATATATATATATATATCTATACATGTATTTAGTCATATTTGTCTGTGTATATGTATCATGCAGTACATCTCCTTCCCCATGGTTTCCCTCGGACCTCGTCCTTTCCTCGTCCGATTTCGCCAGGAGTCCCCAAAGGCCAACCAGCCGGCTTTCCCGCAGCTCTCGCAGCAGCATCCGGAGGCCTGGCGCCTTCAAGGAGCCATACCCCGGGGGAAAAACAACTCCGAGTCCAGTAGGAGACCCAGAAAACCGCCAAAAATGGCATGCCCCCAAAAACACGAGATTTGTTGGGGGCAAACACGAGATTTTCAGATTGAGTGATTCTCAGGAAGTACAACTGCAGTTGTTCAGTACACATGTTGCACTTGGGAGTGCTTGGGAGTTGGTACCCCCTCTACAAACATTTGCGGGGGGGGTACGGTGGCCCCTAAATATGGCAAGTAAGCCAACCACATATCACGGGAAGTTACCGGGTTTCCTTGGATTTCCTTTGTTTCCCACTTGCGTTTTTTGGAGGGAAATCAAAAGGACCACCATGATTTCGGGGGTCCACCTGTTTTACGACAAACCCACGCGCTTCAGGTTTGAGTAGGCTTTGCCCTCATAAATCCAAGGGTGGATGCCCGAAAGATCGGCAAATTTACACATGGCTCGTTTACACGCAACAGGGCATCCAGCGCATGGCCCTTCCCGCCAAAGGAAGCTTGTTGGTTTAACCAGCCTTTTTTACCGTCTGCATGTGTTTGTGCCCCAAAGACCTGCCACACGTGCAAAGGCCGCAGTGTAGCACACGTGCAGGCGCTTCATTCAACAAGGGTTGTTTGTTCGACGCGCAGACCCAGACTCGACTGTTCAAAATTCTGTGTTTTTGTCTTGTTGGCAGTGGGCAAGGACTCGGCCCCTTTTGTTGCGGTATCCAGCTGACCGCAAATTCTTCATTGGGGTGTTTGCCTTTTCCCTTGATGATTTTCCTTAAAACCGTCCGTAAAGATTGGCTTAGTTCACCTTTATTGGAGAGGAAGCTCCCCCTTCAACTACCCTCCCACCCTTTTCACACATATTCGAAGGGCACCCTCTTGGGAATCCACGAGGCCGCCTTGTCCTTTACAATATACTTTATCGAAAGGAGACTTTGCCATGACTTTAGACCAGATAATCTGAGCATGTATGTTTTCTGCCCAGAAAAATACGGGAAACATAGGGAACCCCGACCAAATTTGATTGCATTTTCAGCCATACGTTTCGTAGCCCAGGGCAACATAACAACCTGCGTCAGGTTGCACGAAAAACATGTTTGGATTAGTTGGTTTGCTCTGGGTTTTGGGGGTATTTTGTGAAACATGATCTCAAAAAGGGGCAAAACCACCAAGAAGAGCTAACCACCAATCCAAATAAATCGCCATAGCTAACCACCAATCCGCATTGCCAAGTCGACCGCGGCCTCGCCTTTCCGAACGGACCGAACAAATATTCCGAGGCGGAGCGCAACGCGCGGCAGCGGGAGGAGGCGAAGCGCTGGGGCTTCCAAGCGCAGGCGCGAGCCCATGGCTCCCCGCTGCGCGAGTGCTCCAATTGGAGGGCCGTTTTCGTAGGTCAAATGGGAGAACCCCCCCAAAACAAAGGAAGAGGAGGAGCCTAACATTGTTACAAGCAGGCCGGCCAGCAGACCATAAGTGCATGTACAGAGTTTACAACTTGGTCCTTTGCAATGTTTAGCTCTTCCACCGTCGATTTTGCCAGGGCTACAACAGATCACACACACAACCTTTGCAAGCATGATGGAATGGGTTTTGAGCCCTGCTCAAAAGTCGAGGGGAGGCGAGAATCTTAGAGTATCTGGAATCTAGCTGCCCGTGGGGTGGCTCGCCGGACTTGCTCGTAGCCTTCTGCTTGCAGACCCCTTCGCAGGCGTTGGTCGCTCAGGGCATGGCATTCGCCAAAGAGAGATCCACGACAAGGGGCTCATTGAACTGGACCCAAAGTTGGGCTGACTTCTGTTCTCCAAGCGGGCAACTGGGAAAACGGAGGTTGATAAGGATGACCCCCTTTCAGATGAGGAAACTTACAAGAGGGTCAAGCGAGTTGAATCTTTGCCAAAGCAATAGGCAAAAGCAAACTCTGAGGGAAATGTTTGCAGTCTGGGTAGTTTCAAGATTTATTACGGGTCGTTGTGTGGTTTCCCTTTAAGACTCTGTATGCCACTTTAAGGGACACGGCCGAAAGGATGGGCAGACGTGAGTTTTTTGAGCACTTCAAACTCACGTCTCCCTGTTGGACACAAAACTCCCAGCGCAAACAAAGCCCTTGAATTGGGGGCTTGACCAATGACTCCTCTGAAGACCAATGACTTGAACCGTAGGAGTTGCCTTGCCTGATTTGGCAGTGTTGCAAAAAGGGCCTTGTGGGCTAGAAAAGTGTCCATAACACCTACAGCAAGTTGTTTTTTTTGCTTTGTCCCTTGCACCATTTTCCCATGTCACACTAAGTTGTTTAGTTGTGTTGTTCTGTTGCTTTGTCCTTTTTGCTGTGTGTCGTGTGTTTATAACATAGAGACCCTTCCACCATTCCCTCGCCGCCTCATGCGCGGCACGCTTCGACTCGAGGCCGCGCAAGGCAAAGGCGGCGAAGAAAACCGCGAGGACGGGCACGGCTGACTCCCTTGGACCCCCCCAAGAAGGACCCCTAGCAGCTAAGACATGACCAAGCGGGGAAGGCATGGTAACACAAAATTCCTCAGCAACAACAGCAACAACAATAACAGCACTAGCAATACCAACAACAGTAACAACAGTGAGGTTGCATACTTTGTTAGCTTGCAACTGTGAGTTGTAGTGAACCCAAGATCCCGTTTGATGATGAAGTTAGAGATGGCGGCGAAGGACCCGGCTTTTGTTGGGCAGTGAGTATGTCAGCAGGGGTTCCGGGTCCTTTGAAGGAAGCAACTCAAAGAACCCACTCCCCCAAACGTTTGAGCTATAAAGCAATCATTCATCCAGCCTTGGGATTCTGAACGGCATGCTTGTGGCAAGTTGCGGGGGATTCTGGACCAGGACAATTTCCAGTCTCCATTGACAGCTCAGACTAAATGAAGACAGAGCCTCGCGTCCAATGTGTCTAGAGTCTTAACCAGGCTTTAGCCAGAACAGGAGGACACGTCGAATGGAGGGCTCTGTTTATATCGCGGCCGCGTCGCTGCCTCATCTAGGCTTGTTGTATTGGACAAGTATAAATCAGTATAAATGAATTGCTGCGACCTTGCTTGTTGTATTGTACAAGCATAAATGAGTTCTATGCATTGCTGTGTTGGAGGTGTTCAGATCCGTGAGCTGGAGGGGCGCCAGCACAAAGAGGGGAATGCCATTGTTGGCTGCTTCGCCGCTCCCGCCTATGACTTGCGAAACAAAAAATGCGCAGCTGGTCCAAATTTGGCTCGAGCCATGCAAGAGGAGGGCGAGGCAGATGTGCCGTTGGCGATTGAGTGGAGGAAGGCGGTCGCCTCATGAATGTTTGGTGGGACTCTCTGATTGAGTCAATGAGTCGGCCTGTGCACCTTCCTGTGTTTGCCCTCTCGGGAGGTCGCGCTTGGCATAGTCCCAGGTTTCCAACGCCGTGCAGCAGTTGCTATTTTTGGTCCCATTTGAGAACTTAATTACTGTGCAGCAAATTCGAACTGACCCATCGGGTAGGGGCAAAACGCTGAGAGGTTGGGCATTTGCTGCATTTGCTTTATCATATTTCTTTCAGGTGTAAGTTGTGGAGGTCCGAGTTACGACTCATGCTCTACAAGCTGGTAAAGCAGGACAACACCTCTGCAGTGGAATAGCCTTCATGCCTTCAACCATGCCTTTAGAACCCATGAAACCTCCCCTACGAAGGCAGCGGGGCTAGCACCCAGATGTATTCCTTCTACTTAAACAATGGCCGACAAGACTTAGATTCTATCGGCTCGAGTCCTGAGCAAGTTGGCAGGAAATGACAGCGTTGACTGTCAACATAGGCTTTGGGCGGGAGCCCATTGGCACGGTGCTTGAACACAACACATGCCTCCGAACATTTCCAACGAGCCCCGCTGATGAGTTCATGTTCTCAGTGATCCATCTCATTTAAACCTTGGCCCAAGCTAGTTTATGATACCCACAAGGCTGCGTGATTTCAGGACGCTCCTTGGAGGAGGGCTGTGCGAGCACGACGGGTGGCCTAGATGGAGGCAATCCTGCATCAACGGTCCTTTGTTTGGCCGTGGAGCCATGAGTCTAGAAAGCACTTTGCATGGTGTTTTTTTGTGGAGTCGACCAACATTTCTCTTGATTGTTTGGCAGTCAACTTGTGAAGCACCTTAGAGTTGGATCCCTAAACGCATTCAAACCGCCTGGAGTCCTCCTTTGGGTCAACTTCAAGGCTTAATTTGCCTGGGTTGATGTTCAAGGCGGACTTTTCCTGTGGCTTTTGAGTACGGATGGCGAATAGTTTCGGCGAAGCCTGCAATTTTAGCAGCGCCAGCAACGACTTCGTTTTCACGCTCCTTTGCCCATACAGCCGAAAGCTTTGGGGTCTTTGCCCAGAAATCGGCTCCGAAGTGGTACGGGGCAGCTTTCAGGTTCTGGAGGGTTCTGGAGGGGTTCGGCGCTGCTGGGGATACCTGCTGGGCTTGTTCCTTGTGTAACGTTGACCCCACATTAGCCAACCCCAGTTTGTTACTTAACAGGGGGGTGTCCCTGGGTTTCGTGGGGAATCATCACTTTTGGAGGGGCCCCCACCCCCCGCATTCATTAACATGGGGTCAACATAACATGGGGTCAACATGAATGTTGACCCCGGATCAAATGATTACGTCCAGCCCTGGGTTGTCTGCGCCCACCAGGTGCTGAAACCAAAACCCTGAGCCTCAACCCTAAGCCTCGGCCTCGATGCCAAAATACGAACCCGAAACCGAAACCTTCGTATACCAACCACAAACTCCGCGAAACCTAACACTCTAAACTTATTGACCTAAGCCTACACCCCAATCCCAAACGTAAACCCGAAGACACACGCCCAAACCTTAAACCGAAACCTATGCCCTAAAACTAAACTGCAAACCTCAATCAAACCTTAAGGCACTTAGCCCTGAACCTGAATCTATGCAAAAATCTAAGCCTGAAGCTTAAACCTAAACTTGACCTTAAACCTAAACGCAACGCCTAAACCCTAAGCTGCAACCTAAACTTTAAACATATTAACTGCCAAAGCTTTTCCAAACCCTGCCTGCCCCCGACAAGTTTCCCAGTAGAGCTTTTGAGGGTACCTGAGATTTCCGCAGAGTTGCGATTGGGCGCAGGAAAAGCTCTACCTTTATTCCTCCGATCAGACCCTTTGAGGTGCTCTTTGGAGAGGGCACCCTTGCAGCTGACATGTACACCATTTGGCTATGACTCTCACCTGGGAGTTTGCTGAAGAGTGGATATCCCAATTTGAATGATGTCCACCAAAGTGTTTTCAGATTCTCATACACATTGGGTTGATTTCCCCGACTGGGCCGTACTGAGGGTTGGAGAAGTCAGGAGGCTCGCGGGGATTTGGCTGGCAGGTTGCACTGGTTTCAACCAAGGTGTCACACAGAGTGTTGGGGCAGCAACCCTCTGTGGAACACCCTCTTGATAGGTGAGCCAAGGGAGTATTCATGTTGGTACCATGACTGTTTGATCAAGAACAGTTTGGACGTGTTCTGACAGGTGGTCGGTGTGATACGAGCCATTTCCCAGACGTTGTGCAACAATATGGGATTGAACACGCAGTTGTTGCTTAGTGCATGTGGCTGGACAACAGAAGCAAGATGCATCGCTGCTGGACATGAGGCCGATTTTTCAATTGTCCTATCAGGAAGATCCCCCGAAACAAAAGTGATAGACCGGCACGCTTGCCTGGGTTGATGCCCCAGCAACTGATCCTAGGCCAGGGGGCCTCTATCAGACCTTAGCGCCTCAAAGTTATTGTTCCGTGTTCGAGTCGCTTCACTCCGACAGCAAGTCTCGGCTGGATCCGTGTCATGGCACCCGCATTTGTTCGATCCGTGTCGGCCTCATGCTCCGTCAAAATGGCACGTTGGCGAGAACAGCTGTCGAAGTCCTTCTTTGCTTTTTTGTGGGAGATCCTTTCATATCAACTCAGCGTTTCCAAACATGGGGAGGCGGGCAGCCCAAAACTGATAGGCTTCCTGCTAGTTATCCCTTCAAACGTCAACATCCCCGGCTCCGGTGGTATTTGGTGTGTCTGTCTTTGAGGGAAGCGTGTACAGTGTTTTGTTGCTTTGGAAAGAAACCAGAGGCCAGCCATTCATTCTCGGGGTTTCTGAATTTTTGAAACACCATGCATGATGCGCCAGAAAAAATGGGCACCCCCCCAAACCAGTTGTTGTCCTGTATGATTCTTCACTGTTGTTGGCCTGTTCTTAGGTTTTAGTTTGTTTGGTTCTCTTCCTTTCGAGAAGTGTGCAAAGAAACAAGTTGTTTTTACTGCCATACCAAGGTTTGGGAAGACTTTTCTTTGTACCATCTTGAAAGAATCAAACACCCATCCGAAAACCCCATGTTGTCCCTTTAGCATCCTGAAATTTGATACCCTCAAAGAAAAAGAGTACGCGCCACCTGTTTCTGGCTCACGACATGCGGGTGGCCTGCTTCGCCGCATCAAGCTTTGCCTTAGCTTGGCTCACGAGAGCTGGATGGGTGCTGGATACATAGAGCTTCAGCCAAATACCGAGCTGAGCCAGTTCGCATGTAGAACTATTCTTCATTTCAGAGGCCCAAGAAGTTGATTCTTGTTATTTCATTTGAGCAGGTCAGACTAAATGCTGGGGTACAAGCGGTACAAGCCCGAAAGCAATGGGACAAACTGGTCATGTCCGGATTTCCCGCCCAATCGTCTACTTTGGGTGGAGTTGTCAGAAGTCGGCCCCTTGGGGGAGCTTCTTTCCGGCCAAAAAAGGGGGAACCATCACTACCCTCCTGTACATACACATAGAACCCACCACTGGGGCCCTTTAAAAGGAACATAGTCTTCCAGGACCCCTCAGTCAGGTTCCAAGTGGATGGGGAGGGTAGCATTCTTCATTTTTGAGTCCAGTTAATGAGTCCACTTGACTTGCTGTTTCGATTCTCAGCATGTTGGCGTCCAAATACGGGCCATGGATCGAGGCGCCAAAGGCGCAAAAGGGTTGTGCTCGGGCGGACGAATGGTACGAACCATAGATGTCCTTGGGTCAGTTTGGTTCAAACTTGATGGCTTCCACTGTTTTCAGTCAGTTTCTACTCATCTACCCAAAAGAACTAGCGTGGATGGGCAAAGCCCACTTTGCACCAGTTTGTAGGTGGTTAGTTCAAGTTTTCATAGGGTTCCGAAATCAACGCCTCGCGCCGTCTTGTTGTGAGAGGCTGTCCCTTAACTTGTTTTGCAGGCCCAAACCTTTGTAAACTATAAATTATGCTGAGGAAGAACGATACCACCAGAAGGCATGAAGACACAATTGGTTTGAATCGGTCTGGGTTCTTGTGAGTTGCGCCCTGTGTTATTGAGAAGTTGAGGCCTGGATACAGTCCGCAATTGCTGCTAAGCCGAGGTTCTGGAGGGGGAACCTTACGGTCCCCGAATCGATGTGCAAAGCGATACTCAGTAGATACGTAACCGATACTCACGCCTGTCAAATCGAAGCAACTCCAGTAGCACGCCGTGTCTTTGGCTTGCTATCTTCACACCAACTCTTCGAGGTGCTCCAAGGAATAAGGGTACAAAGGTTTCATACTCTTCTTTTTCAGCCTGACTGGTGCCAAGTAGATTTTATGCATCCTCAGTATGGCTCTCCTCAAATAGATTCTGATTACCTCGAGGCCCCACCCTACACCCTCAAAAATGGAACTTGAACTGCGCAAGTTCTCTACGCAGCTTCTGTGAGCAAGTCTCTTTGAGCAACTTCTTTGAGCATATTCGCTGAGCAAATTCTCGTTGAAAGTTCTTGGCGCGACTGTTCCGCGTAGGCCAGGCAAGAGAAACCGGATGGAAATCGCACGCAAACTGCGCAGCATGCTGCCAAGAGCAAAATCCTCTTGCCCTTTCTGTTGGGAAGTTGTGGACCGTGGCCATTGTTAGTGGCATGGCGACCAGGGGGGATTTGAGCTAGGAGCGCTTCCAAGAACAGGCGCGAATATCCAGACCTGCCCCAAGCAATGTTTTACTGGAGAATTTGGAGGGTCGACCCGCCCCATCCACGCAAAGAGCTGCGCGGGAATGAACAAGCAGCAAACAAACCGTGCGCGCATGTCAAAAAGTTGCGAAACACAAGAGTTGTTGATGGTCGACCCGCGCTAGCCACACAGAGGGCAACGTCAATCAGTACATGCGTACCCCCCCTCCCCCGACTTAGAAAGCTTCAATTTGGTTTTTGACCAGGAAGTAGAATCACAAAGGAATTTCATTTCAGCGAGTAAGGTTCTTTGAGGAACTCTGAGCAAGTTCTCAGAAGTTTTGCTCAGCAAGTTAGGTTCTCAGCCCGTTTCTCTCCAAGGTTTATTTGAGCAAGTCCTCTGGGCCATTTCTTTCAGCCAGCCAGCGCGAGAGAATCCAGTAGAAAATGCTTTCGGGAAAAAGCTAGACCATGTGATGCTCGCATCCATTTCCTTGTGTGGGGTCCCTTAAAACCAACAAAACATGAATATGCGGGGACGTCTCGGATTTTCGCAGGTGGATGGATCGGAGCTGCGACTCTTTTGTGTGCCCCCAGTGGGGATGGGAAGCTCCTGCTTTCATGCCTGGGCGCCTTTGGCGAAATTAACGGGGGAAAGTTCTGGGACCCGTCCGGCCGATTTTTGTCCCTTTTTGTTTCTCAGTTCCGAACCCTCCAAAACCGTCCTTTTTATTCCCCCCCCCGGAAATAAATACATAGGAGTGGTTTGACTAAGATGGAGGTCAAGCAAAAGTTGGTTGGAAAGAGGGGGCCACCAAAGCATGCGATGCATATGGTTGCAAACCCTGGTTTTTGGGCAAATTCACGTGATACCAAGAGAACCCCCTTGAAAAGAGCCTTACTCAGGCCTAACTTAATGCCTGCTAAGCCTGAAGTTTTCGTTAGTACGTTCCAGGGGCGCGGAGTCCGGGGGGGGGGGGGCACTTCACCTTGGATGTTGCCCCCAAACACCTGATCAACTGGAAGAACTGGAAGGGGGGGAGTATTAGTCGGATTAGTCCCGGGTTCCCATGCAATTTCTATGGCTCCTTGCATAGATCCCAGGGTTCAGGCAACAGCCCAGTGGATGTCTTGTGATTCTATGACTCAGTGTATTGGAGGCCTTCAGAGGGTAGCTTGATTTACAAGGGAAGCCCGCTTTGGGAAACGACTCGAACAGAGACAAGGCTCCAGTACAGCCATTTCGCATTTGATCGTACGTAGTCTTAGGCATTCAATTGTTTGTGCATGAGGGAGGGGATAATCTATCTGTGATCAGTGTTGATGTGGTGCTTCTAACTGTGTGTGGTTGTGTTGTTCTTGGTTGCTGTGTGCTGTTCTTTGCAGCAGTATTGTGCCTTGATGGTCTATGTCAGAGGCTTCGATTTCTTCCCGACCTGAATGCGATTTGTGTCAGATCAGAGAGCACTACTGCTCTGCTTCACCACGAACTCGAGTGGGGAAGGGATTTCGAGCAACTTTGCGTCTGAAAACTCATCAAAACTTCCTTGCTTGCGGGGGGTTGCTTCCGGTCTTGTGAACCATAACCATACTTGACCCGATGTTGAGACTGGGACGATCAGCTGACAGAGATCACCTCCCATGGGAGGGAGTCCCCCCAAGCTGATTGCCTTTCATAAACTGCCGCGGAGTCTGAAGCCATTGACCGGAAACGTCCAGGGGGTTGACACAACTCCGCGGAAGCGGCCTTCTGGACCCCTTTCTGAAACATTTAGCACCGCCTACACGGGGAGTCTTGGCCTCTTCAGCTCCTGACTTCCGAAGCCTCACTTGTTTGGTTGTTGTTGTGGGAAAAGAGAGTGCGAGGGTGTTTACCAACAACTTATGTGGCTTATTTGCTCATTGAGCACGAGACATGTCCCCCAAAGGAAACAAGAGCAGTGAACTAGCGACGAATTTCCCCGATCTTCCTGTTGATCTGGGCCTGTATTGCTTGCCTTGTTGATGGCTACACTTTCTGGGTGGTTTAGGAAGCCACGCGACAACCAATTGGAAGCTAGGTCCTTGTTTTGTTTCTGACAAACACCCACACCCAAAACGCAAACGGATTTGACCGGTGCCATGCTTGGGCGCCACTTCGACCTTCGGAATAGGCCCCTCCCACACTTCTACTGCCACGAACGCTTTGCTTCCTGCGAACGTGTTTCTTCTCGCGAGCGCAGCATGCGATGTTGTACCCCAAGCTGCTTCCAAAGAGCAGCGGCTCAAAAAGAGCCTCTAGCGCCGGAAAGGCTCGGTGAACATTTGTGTTAGGTTGGTGAGGAATTTAAAACTGGCCGGAGCTTGATAAGTTTGCATGTTTCACCAAAGCAGCTCGAACAATTGAAA